AAACTAATGAGTACTATTTCACAGTCAACATCTCATGAATCTGATAATGCATTCCAGAAAATATGAGCCACATCTCTGGTCTAGATATGACTTTTCTTATGATTATGTAAATGTCATTAATCAAGATGTTGTTCTCCCGTTCACTATGTGTCACAAACATTGGCATTGAAAGAGAAGTAGATAACTGAAACATATGATATTATGTTTCTGCAACTTAGTTGTGCGCCATTTTTCAAGAACTAAAAGCATAAAATCTGTGTATGAACTTGGATTTCGAAGAAGGCCAATTGTCTCTGTTGCTTCCTTATTGTTAAAAAATATCTGATTCTGCTATCTGCAATGTAGATAATTGCTATTCAATTACCCTCTAGTATAGCTGTTAATGCTGGGTATTTTAATAGAAGCAACGTTTTGTTTGACGCAAATCTTCTTGCATTCAATTTAATGTTCTCTTTCCCAGTCTCTCTATTAACAACTGTCCAGATGCATACATTGCCCCCACCTAGATTCTCTCACGGGAGATCATTGTGTATCTATACTAAAAAGTCAATTTCTGCTTCATTTCTTGAAATTAGACGTTACCTGGGTGAAAAAAGGAATAGAAGTGTAGTCTATCAATAAGTTTTTAGTAGAAGTCTTGCATGTCATAAAGAGGCACCTGGTAAATCAAATTATATAAGAACCTTTCATCAATAGAAGCTGGGACTGAATCTATGTCTGATGGTATATCCATTTATCATCCTGCCATTAGTTTTGGGCCAACACTAATATGTCTCTGTATATCTGTTGGAAACTTGTTATTAAGTTGTATTTTTGTCAGTTTCCTTTGCCATTTCTGATTAATATTATATTTCTTTTGTTGCAGTTGGTAGAGTTGCTGGATAGTCCATTGCATAAGTATTTCGAGCAGCATGACTGCTTGAATTATTTCTTTTGTTTCCGCTGGGTTTTGATTCAATTTAAAAGGTCAGATTCCTTGAATCACTGTCATAGATCCGTAAATTCAGCAACAAGAAGTCTGTTTGACTGTCTTTTTTTAAAAATATATTACTGAAGACTTCCTGCAAAAATAACTGGATGGCCGGTCCTAATTGAATCACTGGCTCCTTTTTCGGACTTAATCTCTCTCTCTTTTTCCAAAGAAGTGCAATTGGTATGGATTCATGAGAGGTTGTTAAGAATGTTATCTAGCAAAGCTAATAACCAAGTAAACATGCTTTACATCTCTGGAGATGATTCAGGAGAACCTTATGCTTGCTGGAAGCCTTCACAATGTGGAGAATAATCTCCCTGTTCAGAACACGCTATATGATAAGATTTTTTTTTTTGTATAAAATTGGAATGAATTCTATATTCTACTTTATAAATATTTTCCTAAAAGTGTCTTTAGCCTCTTGACATATTCCTGAAAGGATCAAAGTCTTCTAGACGGTTCAACTAAAAAGTTAATTTCTGTGACACTTCTGATGGAGATTCCAATTGATGATGCACTTGATGTCAGTGAAGCTGTTGGAGTTTTAAATTTACCAGTCTGACAGATTTAGCCCTGCATTGGTCCTCACAGAGAGAATTTGTTAGTAAACAACACATAAACTAATCAATATTTCACTTGACATTTCAGGGAGCTTGAGTTCGAGAGTACAATGCGTTTATGGGAGGTATTATGGACACATTATCCATGCGAGCATCTGCACCTGTATATATGTGTGGCAATCCTGAAACGATACCGCAATAAAATAATGGGGGAGAAGATGGATTTCGACACGCTTTTGAAGTTTATAAATGAGCTGAGTGGTCAGATTGACATTGATTTAAGCATCATGGATGCAGAGGCTCTTTGTGTATGGGCTGGGGAAGATGGTGCCGCTCGAATACCTCCTGGAACCCCACCTTCGTTACCTATAGATGATGTCTCATTATATTCTCAACTAGAAGATGAAGTGTTATAGATGATTAGTTCCCATAATGTTCTTTTGTTGAGGGTTTTTATTTGTTTATTTTTTGGGTCCAGAGATTATGTTAGCTAATCAATTGCATTTGCAATGACATCCGCGTGTGGCAGGCATCATTTTATGTTTATGACTCTCTGCCGCAACACGCTTTCCGGTATTTCGTGTTGTAATTGTACATACGGGATCAAATTCCAACGTTATATCGGATAATAAATAATATTGTTTGATTGATGGGAGGCTTCTCCTTGCGGTGTTATGTCCAGTGTATTAATGCAACTGAAAAAAATTGACTGCTTAAGACTTATCTGAACATCACAGAAATGAATGCCGATGTTATCTCGGCTCTGTACCAATTTCCGTTTTCCGAAAGATGGAAAGCGGGTAGAGAAGGACCACATAAATTGGTAGGAAGCACGAAGCGAAGCCTCCACCAATGCCTATTGACCTAAAGGCACCAGGGCACCTTCAGAAGGGAGAATCTGAGTTTGAACTAAGTTAAGGTTCAGGGAACCAGTTAACGGTATGTTAGGAGGCATAGGGTGCGTGAGTGAATTTCCCGGGGGGGGGGGGGGGGGGGGACCGGCCTTTTTGTGTTTTTTCCTGTTTCTACCCCGACCAAAGGCACAGGTTTGTAATTTGGCATCAAGTGAAAAGGAAAAAACCAAAAAAGGACAATGATAAAAAATTTTAATTTTTCACGTGATTGATTATCGGGGTCAAAAACACAAAGCAATCATCTCAATGAAGGTGTTACTGTTGACACAGCCTCGTAAAGTTAAGTTGGTGGCAACTATTGAGAACGTGACACCGCCCCAAAATCATGTTTTAACAAAAGCCAATCTGTCGCTTCAGCCATCTCTTTTAAAATATTACCTCCGGTCCTAATTATAAGAGTCAGTTGACTAATTTGAGGAGATTAAGGAAATAAGTTGAGTTAGTTATTTGTCCTAAATAAGTGTTGTCTTTCCTAAAATATCCTTGCTAATCAAGTGTATTGATTAGAACTATCATTGTTAGAAGGACCATTTTAGAAAAAAAAAAAGTATAAATATGAGAGACAAAGTGGATTGGGGTCTTATATTTAGGACCAAAATAAAAGTCAAACAGGGTCTTACTCCCTCCGGTCCTTAATATAAGACCCATTTAACTAATTTAATTAGATTAAGAAAGTTAGATAAGTTAGTTAATTATAAGAAATGTGACACGTTTTTCTTAAAATACCATAATCATCTTTCTTAATACTTCCTCTTCCTCTTTTACTTAATTATGGTTGAGGGAGTATCCATAGGGGTAATTTAAAGAAAATTGATAAATATAAAAAATGAGTCTTATATTTAGAACTAAAATCAATTTAACAATTGGGTCCTATAGTAAAGATCGGAGGAGTATAAACTAAAGCACTCCTCACCTCATATCTGCAAGCGAAGGACCCCTTTGGTACACCCAAACTAAGTTTTATGAGGATAAGAAGCACTGGGTCATATCAAAGAACACTTTTCGCGCTAAGTTAGTTAATTCCAATTATATTCCCCACCCCCTCCCATGCAAGGGCAAAAGCCAACCTATATCGATGTTATTCATAAGCTAATTCATTTAGAATTCACGAGACCTACAATCTATTTGCTGCATGATACGGCCAATTTACTACATTTTAAATTAGCCCTTTTTTGAGGTAAGATACTTAATATCGTCTGCCAGTAATAGAAGTTAGTCCCTCTGGAAATGTTACCAACAAATGATACTTCTAATTAAGCTTATTCCGTAGACTGAGAATGGAATCAACATCAGTTCATAAATAGTTTTTTAATCGTGATTTATAAAATATGAGAATAGTTTATAAAGAATTTTTACCGCTATCTCCCAACAATCCTTCAATCACTTGAGAAACGAACGACAACTCATTCTTCGTTATATGTAAAGATATGTAGAGTAAAAGGACGGGACCCCACTAAGCTGGGAGTGCAGAAACTTTCCAATATAAAATGATCTCTGACGGTGGGAAATAAACGACATCTTTCCTTTTTTTTTTTACCAGAGTAAACGACATCATTATAAACCTCCTTCTACTGTGGTGAGGTTTATGACCAACCCAAGATATAGTTTTTTCAAAACACCGTTTATCTGACACTTCTTCCAATTTTATATATAAGATATAGTTTTTGGTGTAAGCATAATTAATTTTTATTTTACTTTTGCCCTTATTAAATTACAAATTATATTACTATATTAATTATCTCACAAACATCCCCTCTCTCTCTCTCTCCATAAATAAGGTTTATACATTTATTCCATTTATCCATTCAACTAACTTTTTTTATCTACATAATTGGATTATTTATTACTACCTCCTGTCCTAATTATAAAAGCTAGTTAACTAATTTGAAAAAAATTAAGAAAAGAAGTTAAGTTAGTTATTTATAATAAATAGGTGTTGCCTATCCTTGCTAATTAAGTGTGTTGGTTAGAATTATCATTGTTAGAAAGACTACCTTAAAAAAAAAATATAAATATGAGAAACAATATAGATTGAGGTCTTATATTTAGGATTAAAAATAAAAATAAAATAAAGTCTTATATTAAGAACAGAAAGCAATATATCTTATATAGACTCCGTCAATGAACAATAATAATGTAAATATATGTAGAATATTTTCTTAAAAAGATAAGACATGTTTTAGTTGAGGAGAAATTTTTAGGTACATTTTCTACACTCTCAAATGAGACGCGCTTAGTGAAGCATATAAAAAATGTACCTAAAAATTTGTTAAACTCATGTATTGTAAGTATATTCATTCTGTTTAGTACAAAACATTGAAAATAAGAGGTACAAATCGAAATTAAAATTAAAAAAAAATCTATTAAAAGATTATTTGGCATAAATGATTATTTATTATATGGGATTAAATAAACTCATATACGTAGAATTGGAGAATACTGTGGAAAGAGATAGTATTTCCCAACCCGACCTTTATAGGTTTACATAATCCATGTAACAAGTAATCATGCTAAATGTTTTTTAATAAATTTTTTCAATTACAATCATAATTCATATATCTCGTTTTCACTTTCAGTGCTAAACACATTGTTCTTCTTATCATACATAGATCATCTCTTGCCATGAAGTTACTTCTTCAGCGGGAAGCACTTTCGTCGTCTTCGTTTATGTTTCCTCTTCACCTGAAGTAACGTTAGGCTATTCGCACTATGGCATGAAGCATTCCGTGCGTGAACTGGACTCCCACCATCCATAGTCTACAGCTTCAGTTTCAAGCATGAGAATGGAATCCAAATTGGTCATGAAATGCTCATCGTCGAAACCAAATACCGCACTGTTCCCAGGCACAATCGGAAAATCTAGGTCACAGTAGAAGCTCTGCGTTTCGTCGACCCACGAGTGTGTGATGTTATTGTTCTCATCTTTCCTCGCATCCAGCAACCCTGTCTCTGCGTTGCTTGCGGGAATCGGAATGTCGGAGTTGCTGATTCGTGATTTCTTGCTGGTTTCTTGCTGATCCTTGCTTGAACCGATGGCTTTTCTTTTGCCTCGAGGGCATCTCTTGTCCAAACGGGTATTCCAGTAGTTCTTCACTTCATTATCGGTTCTGCCAGGAATTCTTCCAGCTATCAGTGACCATCTGCGTCAGATAGGAATTACAGAGTACAAGTCAATTTATTATATATAAATATTCTCATATTATTGGATTGCATGACACTGACAATTCAGTCAAAATGGTGTCACTTTATTGAATACTAGTTAGGTAAATAGGAACGTTGCAGATGCTGTATAACTCTTAAAAAATGTATGAAACAGTAAGATTGTGTGACAAATACTTGTTAAGTAAACATGGTTTTCGAGTAAGTAGACGCACCGGTTGCCAAGAAGCTTATGCAATCTGATGATAAGGTCTTCTTCTTCTTCAGACATTCCTCCGCGTTTAATGTCAGGTCTCAAATAGTTCTTCCATCTTAGCCTGCAACTCTTCCCTCCTCTCTTCAGACCTGCAGTTTCGGGGTGATATATGAGAAAGACCCTTCGTCTGTTAACAACAGATGGTGCGAATAGGTAGATGGTTGTGTTGGTAAAGATTTGTTTGAAGAACCTAACAATATTTGAAGTAACTAACACATGAGTGAGCATAGATTGGGACTGATCGTCAGAGGCGAAGGTGGACTTGCCTGATTTTTTGGAAACGGCTTCCCAGTTTCCTTCACCGTGAGCTTCAATGTAGGTTTTCAGAACCAAGTCTTCCTCTGGCTTCCATAGATTCTTCTTGGGCTGTGGCTTCAGTGCCAGTCCTTTGCTTTCCATTATGTGACTAATTTTCCGAAGCTGTGAGAAAGCAAGTGAGATTCTGAGCGGGAGTTATATAGGAATGAAGCTCATAATAATGTGCATATATACCGTCGTGCATGAATCATGAAGCGAAAAAGTTAACACAATGAGGGTCCCAGATTTTCTATCAACTTTAGCTTTTCTATAATCATCATATTTATGTAAAGTATATTTATTCAAAATACTCGCAGAAAAAGAAAGAAAATCCCAGTAATGGTGAATTTGAAGTGCATGTGAAACCAAGCTTTTTTTTTTCCCCTCTCCATATAACTGTAGAACCGTAGAGAGCGCCCAATATCCTTCTGGGGCCAGGAATGAGAAAGTGACAGTGATCAGAAATTCTATTTTTGTGACCTGGGAATGTCTGCCACTATAAGGCAGGGGCACAGTGGAATTATGCACCCTTTGCTTTTGCATGATTTAAGACTAAGCATAATGATTTAGGTACATTTTGATTGATTCAGCAGCGGCTCAAGTTTCCGACTTTATGACCCTTTTACCTTGATTACAAAAGAAAAATGCAATAAGATCAGTTCAGAATTAAGTGTAAGTAAAAAATTTAAAAATAATATTGAAATCACATAATTTGAAGAGATCCAATCTGATCATACCCCAAGTACATGGCCTATGCCTTATGATATCCTTTTGTTTTTTCTGATCGTGCAAAACCCATGTGACAATGGAAACAGCATATAACTTTGGTTATAAATATGTTATTTTGGCTGTCTAATTGGCTACTTACGATGGCATAAATAGAGAACTAATGCTGTCTCAACGCATACTGAACCAACCCTTCAATTATTAAATCTTTGGCATGTTACTGGTATCACACGTCAGTCCATCATCTTGTTTCTCTTTATGAGTGGAAATTGGTGAGTGGGGCAATCAGCAATTCACTGAGATTGAGGTGAACGTGATTGAGTTTATATCATTGGAACTGTGGGATCAGCTGTGAGTTGGCTGGCAATTTTGGTGATTTCTTTGCCTTATGATAATATATAGTTCCATCGTTTTCAGTAGTACTTGGATGAGTGTGGTAATAACATGACTCTATTCTTGTTATGAATTGACAGTGTCGCACTCGCTCCCCAGGCCTCTTCAAATCGTAGTCTTTATCTGATGAACCAATAATTTCTACCTTTTTGCCTTTCTGGTTCTCGGTCTTTGCAACTCCTTTGTGTAAGAAAACCAATTCCTATTTACAGCGCAAAGTGAAGGCCGGCAAATCAGTAAGAGCTTCTTTTGTATTATCATGCTTCTGGAAAATTCTCATTGTTTAACGCAAGGAACTAGTGTGAAGCAGAAATGTACGCTCAAGTTGAAGGGGACGAAAACTTATGTGATATCGTCCAATACTGCAATCATAATCATTATCTGGGTGTTGATAGTTAAACGATGGATTTTGAGCTTGAAAACTAGTCTTTTTTGAGTGTACCCGGTTCTGATGGACTTAAAAAGTGGTTTGCTTTGATATGCAATAAGAACATGCTTTTCTTTTTTTTGGGGTTTTTAGTGCTCAATTCATTCCATAAAATCATTTTCTAGACATATTGTATCAAGTTCCTAATCAAAAGGTGTTTCTTCTTAACTCACTACGGCAGCCAAAATGCTCTAGGCTAGCTACCGTTCAACTACCCTTCAAGTTTTCCCTCTCTGGAAAATTGCCACGTCAGATCAAACATTTTGAATTATTCTTCACTGGTAGTTGAAACTGTGATCCGTTTCCTTATTTTTACTGCACGTCCATTGTTATTCTCCGTAATCTATTGATATTGGCCTGCCCAGTCACTGTTTCAAGGCAAAGATTGATCCACCACCTTATGTCTCCCTCCGTATAGTTGAGGGGACGAAACTGACAAATCCCTTCGTTCCTCATTATTATTCAGCATATGTATTGCGTTGTCCTTTTTTCTGTTGGCATCTGTAGCTGATATAAGGTTTCTGGGTCCTCTGTTCTAAATCTGAAAGGGAAAGACAGAATTTGGATGACTTGAACTGGTTTAGATTTGCAAGATCATTTTTCTAAGTACTGCACTGTGATGAACGCTGGCTTTTAAAGAGTACTTTTCCAGTCACTTTTAAGCTGGCATGCATGCATGCATGTTTGGTGGGGGACCTAATAAGATTGAGATTCCCCCATTCGCTTTTCTCACTTTCAATTGCACACCTTTGAGCAGAATTACTGAATATTTGTTCACAATTGATTTGCACATAAAAATCTAGGGCGTTATAATATTCCATCTTTTGTTATTTCCCCCGCAAATTACATGAAACTTTACTCTGTAAAGTGAAAGTAGTCCCTTCTCCCCTCAATCATTCCACAATGGAGCCCCCACCCTCTGCATAAAAAGTGGTTTTGTATGTCCTTCTCCTTGGCTTCTTGCACCCCACTTTGAATCAGTATGTTTCAGTCTTAACAATTTTTTTTTGGTTCTTCATTCTTTGTTTTTACTATTGGAATGTTAGATGCCCAGCTTGTTACAGAAAGCCAAAAAGAAGTCTATTATTGAATTGAGTTGGTCTGGGGATATTGAACTCCAAAGGACGTGTGGATTTTTTAAAAAAAAAATTAAAAATTTGACATTGAATTTTTTTAAATTTGAGTAAATCACCCGTCATGTGTATGAATATATGACACGAGTTTAAGAAGTTGGTTCGAAATGATTTAAAATTTAAGATGTCATTGATATAACCATACAAGTTATATAAATTTAAAATTTAGGAAGCTTATCTGTGAAACTTCAAATGTTAAAGCATAATGAGTCTCTTCTGTCTCTTTGATATGTATTACTCCTCCGGTCCTTATTATAAGACCCAATTTGACTTTTTATTTGGTCCTAATTATAAGACCCAATCCATTTTGTTTCTTATATTTATGCATTTTTTTCCAAGATAATCCTTCTAATAATGATAGTTTTAGCCAATATACATAATTAGTAAGGATATTTTAAGAATGACAACACTTATTTATTATAAATAACCAACTTAACTTACTTCCTTAATCTCCTCAAATAAGTCAATTGGGTCTTATAATTAGGACCGGAGGAGTACTATCATAATTTTGAAGAGCCATAGATTTCGAAGTATTTAAAAATTTTATTCCTGAGAAGGACCTAATAAATTGCAATACATTGTAAATTTTGCCCACATTTCGGTCTGTTTGAAATCACATTCAAAAGCATTCATAAATACGTTTTATATAAGTCGAGACAAAACTCTTCTCACATACTTACCTCCTATTTCATAAAATCATGATTAAAAAATTATTTATAAGTCATTTCAAGTGGCTCTTAATAAAATTTTTAGCAAAGGCTTTTTCCAAATTTTCCATGTATATGTCTGCAAAAAACTCGTTGTGAAATATGCTTTGGGATGGATAGCGGCAATCATGAAGAAGATGGAGGCTATGAAGAATGGACCTCGTTTTGGGCCTTGGATCCATGCTTTGCTTCCAAGTTCCAACCCGCCTTCACTTTCGCTTCCCATCAGACATCTTTTTTTTAATTAAAAAAAACTTCAGTTTTTGTATGTGCATTTTGGTCGGATGTAACATCAAATTAATGAAAATACTTGACTTCATCCAATCATTTTCCTTTGTGAGCCGACCAAGCTTATGCACGGCCTTAAGGGAGAATGGTCTTAATCTTTCACTAAGCATCAATATCCTTTAAAATATCCGCTTTGTTCTTTTGCCCTTTTTGTTGGCCTACATTTTCTCTCTGGGCTGCTGTAACGATATTATTCCTATTCCGAGTCATTTCTGAGTGATATTGGTGATCCCAGGTTACCTATTCAATTCTATTCTTTAAAAATAAATTTGATTGATTTGTTGTCGACAAAAGTTATAATTTTTTTAATATTTTTATAACAAAACAAAAGTTATCCTTAAATTTTAATGTTGGCATTAAATCCTAGAACCAGATGGCATTTGATCTTGTCTTAGCATCTAAATGGCAGTGCGTGTTATGTTTGGATGAAATCTCAAACATGTCTGCATGCATATGTTTGATTGTATAAAATTAGAAAGGGAAAAAAATTTTTTAACCCAGCATACTTGATAGGATCAAGCTTATTTAATTTATGGAGTTAGTTGAACACTTAATGGGAAAAAAATTTAAAAAGAAAGGGGGGGTGTTGGGGTGAAAACTGAGAACCAGACTTAGAAAAAGAAGAACATATAGGGAAGTCACTTTGCATCTGCAACAATGAAAGATGGTTAAGGAAGGAATTGGGAATCAGAGGGGACCCACCAAGCAATCATCAATAAATAATGCCATCCAAAACGGGGCAAAACGAATAGAGTGGGTTGTTAAGCGTCCATGATTCGGCCCTCCTTTGACCTAAACTTCAACACAGGCAGCCAACACAACCCCAAACCACACACACACAAACTTTGATGGCGACTCGCCCTCCATTGCCGACCGCCCAAAAATCACAGTTATTAGGGTTTCAAAGACAGAGTGGTCCTGCCTCTGTGGGGTTGGACCATCGGGACACGTGGGCTTCCGCCCAAGTCTGTGTTAACTGCGACTCTCTGCTTGACGAAGAAGATGATGAAGTCGGCGTTGCAGGTGGGTGGCGAGCTTGTAGGGTTGGATTGGGGTTGGCGTCACGTGGAATCCGTGTGCCTTTACTCCCATCCTTTCCTTACCCTCTCACGCCAAGCTCTTTTTCAATTCTTGCTTTGTGGACGCCCGGCCTTGTGCAGCACATTGCATGCTGATCACGGTGATAAGTATTGAGTACTCATCTTAATTTAAACTAATAAGATCAATTTTCAATCATCAATTAAATATTTTATATATTTTAATTAATATTTTTTATTATGAAAGATATAGAATTCAAAGTAAAAATAACCGCATAACTGACCCCTTTTTTTAAAAAAAATAAATTTCTTGTTAAAAATTGCTATTAAAAATTTAGATTTTAGATTATCTAGATTGAGTTAAATTGATAAACATATGATGCTTATTGTCGTGATAAGCACCG